AGTAGTGGTAGTAGTAGTAGTAGTAGTAGTAGTAGCTGCAGTGGTAGTGCTAGTCGTAGTAGTAGTCGTAGTAGTAGTAGTAGTAGTAGTAGTAGTAGTAGTAGTAGTAGTAGTAGTAGTAGTTGTGGTTGTCGTTGTTGTCCACGTGGTGGTGGTGGTGGTGGTGGTGGTGGTGGTGGTGGTGGTGGTGGTGGTGGTGGTACGTATAGTAGTAGTAGTAGTAGTAGTAGTAGTAGTAGTATCATAACAATGATGGCAACAGGGACGACCAAAGCTAGTTGCTGCGAGAAACTGCTTCTACGACTGCTATTCTTCGCATCGATACAGTTGGTAGTGTCTCTTGAAAATGGCATCATCGACGCTGTCAGATCCTCCAGCTTCTGAAGTCCCTTCGGGAAGGCCGGCAGCCTACACGGCAGCACCAAGTGCCCTGAATCACGGGACCAGGTGTAGTCTTACCCAAACCTCATTTACGATGCTTGTTTTGTTGTTAGGCTCCGGTCTAGACAAATGTCTGTGTTGCCCTAAGGGTCCATCTACCCCAAAAGTATATACATTAGCCCTAAAGTACCTATATAGGGACTATATAAGGCCACAGTATATACTATTTGGGTACATGGACCCTTAGGGTTAGGCTTCGGTCTAGACACATGTTTGTGTTCTGGTTCGGTTTCATGTCGGGGCTTAGGTTGAGGCGCAACAACACATAGTTCTCCAATACCCAACCTTTAAACTTTTTGGGTTCTTATAATTTCGTAACAATCTGAAGGTTAAACCTTTTATTTCCGTGGCTTTTTTTTGGGGAAGTGAGAACATGAAACATTGAAGCCTACTGCCAACAAAGGAATGCCTTCTGTCGTGTATGTTCAGGTGCGTCTGGGGATCCTACCCTCGAGGCTAGCCTGAGGTTTCGTGTAGGTATGTACTTACTTAGCATATACTTAGATCGTAATTAGGTTCCTGTATGCGTCAATTACATAGCTACTACAGTGCACGGGTCATTAGACCCTAGAAGGCCTTACACACCCCTTATAGAGCCCTTGTGGTCATTACCCTGAAAGAACCCCTTACATAGACGCTTGCAGTACCCTGGTGGGTACGTGCACGCTTAGGATATGGATTCGTGTCGAGGCTCGAAGCTGAAGAACAAACTCACGAGGAGCACGCACAGCAGAGCTAAGGAATTCGGGTTAGGGTAAACGTATGGCTTAGGGATTACAGCAGGTGTTGAGTGGTATGTTAGAGTAAGATTAAACATATACTGACTACGAGGGCATACGTTTGCTAACTAGCCCGTGTCAAGGCACTGGGAAATGCGATTGAGGGCAGGGAACTTGGACGTATATAAACCTTAAGTTCGAAATCCCACAAGTGCTCGAATTATTCTAAGCTAGGCAGCTGAAACCATCGGTTTGGGTTCAGGGCTCCGGGATCATGGTTTATTGTTAATGTAGGGGCCCAAGTAATTGCCAATATTACGGTTAGGGTTCCTTATTATAATTATAGTACAACGGGCCCAATACCCTATTCTAATTATTAAGGCTCCTATATTTGGCTGGCATGTCGATTTCTGTGGAAGTCGGACTGCTCAGTGGCAAGACAGCTACCGTGGAAGTCGGATTGGATGAGCAGGTCGCAACGTTGAAGCTTCGAGCACAGACAGCGCTTGGAGTCGGAAGGGGTAGATTGCTCGATTCATCTGGAAGCGTACTGAATGACTCCTTATCAGTTCAGCATGCCAAGGTCCAGAATGGCGATTCGCTCACCTGGCACATCAATACAGTCCAAGTGCAAGCATGCGATATCGGAGCTGCCTTTGCTGCCATTCTCAGCGACGGATCTGTCGCGACTTGGATTCTGTCGAGCCGTGCTGGAACCAGCAGCGCGGTGCAGGAGCTTCTAAAGAATCTTGGTTGAACTTTACAGTCGTTTTATAGCTTTATCACTTTTAGGACTAGCTTTTTTTGATATGGGTTTTTAAAAACCCTTTTATCATTTTAAGGACTAGCTTTTTTTGATATTAGGGGTACTGACAGTTCTAGTTTTAGCAAGGTAACCCTAAACCCTAAACCCTAAACCCTAAAATAAAGAGCAACCCAGGAATGTGCAGCAGATCCAGGTGTCTTACCGCAGTTTTGCTGCCATTCTTGGTGATGGATCCGTGGTGACCTGGGGTGATGATGAGAATGGTGGTAACAGTAGTTCCTTAGTAGCTGAGTGAGTACACTTTACACGTTTTGGGAATATATGATCCCTTATAGAACTGAAAGTGTACACTTTCTGGGGCTTATGAACTCAGTAACAAAGGTTCTGTGCAGGAGCAGTTGAAGAACGTGCAGCAAATCCAAGCAGCAGGCGGCGCGTTTGCCGCCATCCGTGGGGATGGATCCGTCGTGACATGGGGTGAAGCTGACTGCGGAGGCGACAGTAGTGCTGTGCAGGAAGAGCTACGGAATGTGCAACACATCCAAGCCTCTAGTAGTGCTTTTGCAGCAATTAAATCCGATGGGTCCGTTGTGACCTGGGGTGATGCTGAGGATGGTGGCGACAGCACTGCTGTACAGGATGAACTGAAGAATGTGCAGCAAATCCAGGCCACTGGTAGCGCTTTTGCTGCTATTCTTGGTGATGGATCCGTGATGGCATGGGGTGATGCTGACTATGGTGGGGACAGAAGCGCAGTGCAGGATCAGCTGACAAAAGTGCTGCACATCCAGGCCTCCTATGGTGCTTTCGCCGCCATTCTCGTCGACGGATCTGTGGTGACCTGGGGTGCGGATGGCCACGGTGGTGACAGCAGTGGCGTGCAGGATCAGTTGAAAAATGTTCAGGCGATCCAGGCTTCTGATTATGCTTTTGCTGCCATTCTTGCTGATGGATCTGTTGTGACCTGGGGTGACGAAGACTGTGGCGGTGACAGTAGTGCTGTGCTGCATCAGCTGAAGAACGTGACGCAGATTCAAGCAGCTCTAACCGCGTTTGCTGCAATTCTTGCTGACGGTTCCGTCGTTACCTGGGGTTCTGCGGCCGATGGTGGCGACAGTAGTCCTGTGCAGGATCAGCTGAAGAACGTGCAGCAGATTCAAGCCTCTAGGTATGCTTTCGCTGCCATTCTTGGTGATGGATCTGTTGTTGCCTGGGGTAATGACCAGTGTGGCGGTGACAGTAGTGCTGTGCAAGATCAGCTGACTAATGTTCAACAAATCCAAGCCTCCGGCAGCGCTTTTGCTGCCATTCTTGGCGATGGTTCATTCGTTTCCTGGAGTGATGCGGAGATGGTGGCGACAGCAGCACTGTACAAGATCAGCTGAGAAACATGAGGCTCTAAACCCTAAACGCTAAACCTTGAACCCTAAACCCTAAACCCTAAACCCTAAAATATTGAACCCTAAGCCATAAAATTTAAATGTTGAACCATCCTGGACCCCCAATTTCCAAAACCCTCCTCCTTTCCCGAAGAGGGAAACCCTCAAACCCAACGGTTTAAAACCCGAGGGCCTCAGGTCCCAAAGACAGCAGTGTGAAGTTTACAAACATCGAAGCCGAAATAGTTACCAACAATATTCCTTAGGGTTCCTCGTCAGGTTCGCACCATAAGTTAGACCCCCAAACTCTGTTCCTAACTATTAAGGCGTACCCGAAACCCGAGGAAGTTCTAGTGGCTCGGTCTTAGGGTTTCGTGATCTTTGAGAGTCCACATAGATCACGTACTCTGCACCCTAATTTAGAGAATTACCCATATGCACACATTCTTCAGGGTTCCTTACTAGAGAAAGAGTAGAACATACCCTCCCCCGAACCCGAACCCTAGTCCTTAAACCTCAAACCCTACACCCCGTTCCCCACGTGAGTACCCTAAACCCGCAACTCTAAACCCTACACCCCATTCCCCAAACCCTATAGACCCTAAACCCTCCTAAACCCTAAACCCTAAACCCACCCGCAAAGAAGACATAAAAAACCAGACCGTCCCAACTGGGACCGTAAAGGGGCCCAAAGCCCGAGCCGCTGAGGCATCGATCCTGAGGAGCCACGGCTCATGGGCATGAGCCGCGCCCGGATGCCTGGAGATTGAGGGGTTTGGAGTTTAGGGTTGATAGGGCTCTTAGGGGTCCCTAAACCCTAAACCCTAAACCCTAAACCCTAAACCCTAAACCCTAAACCCTAAACCCTAAACTTAAGGGTTTAGGGTGGTCGAGCTCTTTAAACCCTAAACCCATATGAACTCTAAAGCCTGATCCTATAGGGTTGAGGAGTGTTAAGGGTTGCTTCCTTCAAGGGCTATCTAGACACAGGGTTCCGTGCCTGGCTTTAGGGTTTAGGGTTTAGGGTTTAGAGCTCCCTAAGCCCTAAGCCTTAGCTAAACTTCGATGAATGAAACACAGACAAGAAACCCGAAACCCCGTACTCAAAGGATCATGGACCTTAGTAGCTAGGGTTATAAATAAGGTAAAACTACTCATAGCTGGAACCCCAGTTCAGGTACCTATCACCCGCAAACCTATGTGGGTAGTTCTCTAAGTTAGCGTCCCTATTTAGGTCCCACAGATAGTACAGCATCCGTATAAAAAGGACCCTGCAAGGGACTTCTAGATCCTATAGAACCCTTTTAGTACCCTTGCAAAAACCCTAAAGAAAGCCTTATAGATCCCTTTAAGGGATCCCTATAAACGGGTCTCTACGGTTGATGATGCAAATCCTGCATTACCCATAACAAGGAATATATACCATAATTCCCATTGTTTAGGGTCCTTAAGGTATACCAGCGTTTATATCATCAACTGTATGAACCCTAAAATCCTAAAACCCTGAAAACCTAACAGTTATAGATCTCTTTAAGGGATCCCTAAACGGACCCGAATTATGTATAGGTGCTGTGCCTGGCTCAGCGCATGCAGCTCTTCGGAGTGCACTTCTGGCTGGGAAGAGCCTCGGCTTGGCTGGGGGAAACGCGGGTTTTCGCTTCCTTTAAAGGGGTGTGTAGGTTTCTTTAAAGGGTTCTACAGGTTTCTTTAAAGGGTTCTATAGGTTTCTTTAAAGGGTTTTTCCGTAAACATTTCCTTTAAAGGCTTCGTGTTGTCTTTTACAGGACATTGATGGTTTGTTTTTGTGGGTTTGGGTTCTTATAGGGCAAGAGTCTAGTACGGGGTGTATCAGGGAGCTACAGGGTTTAGGGTTTCAGGTTCTAGGGTTTTAGGTTTCAGGCTTTGGAGGTTTGAGTCTCCGGTTTATGAGGCTTAATTTCTTTGTTCTATGCCCGCCCAGCAATAACCCTAAACCTAAACCCTAAACCCCAAACCTAAGCAATAGGAAAAGGCTTTGGGTTTAGGGTTCGTGGCCGGTTTTGTGAAATTGGGGTTTCCGCAAATAGGGGGCCCTAATATAGTACCTTAAATAGTAGGATCCTTATTATCAGGACCCCAAAATCAGGTACCCTTATTTTCAGAAACTCCCAAATGGCAGGCCCTAAACCCTAAACCCTAAACCCTATAAGCCCTAAACCCTGTGGCCGGTTTTGTGAAATTGCAGCTTGGGAAGAAGTGCTAGAGCCTGGGTCCTTGGGCCTGGCGTTGGTGGGTTTTCGGTGCAGGGTCATTTGGGGTTTAGGGTTTAGGGTTTAGGGTCTAGGGTGTAGGGTTTAGGGTTTAGGGTTTAGGGTTTAGGGTCTAGGGTTTAGGGTTTAGGGTTTAGGGTTAAAGGACAGGAAGCAAAATGACAGTTTCGAAATAATTTTCGCACTTTCATGGAGTTCCTTCTTCGCCAAGACAACCCAAACCTCTGCAAGCACCCTGAGAACCTGCCAACATTTAGCACCACAGAGCCCAAGCCAACTCCCAGCCAGGGCAAGTGGCTTCCTTCCCTCCCGAGAAGGCTGCCTTGCCCGAGGCGAGATGCAGAGTCTTGTTGACACGATGAGCCCAGGAACTAGAGGCTAAAACCCCCAAAGCCAAGATCGCACTTTTTCTAGTAGAATCTTGCTCGCTCTTGTTACTAGTAACTTTACTGCTGCTACTACTTCTGCTACTTACTTCTACTTACTACTACTACT